CTGCCCGTCCTTCCCCACTCTGGCTCCGTTTTTTTTTCTCCGCTTCGAAAAGGACGAACATGTTGGGTGGACGGCAGTGCATTGTCGAGGGTCAAGGGACAGCATGCATTTTACGGCATGTTCTTCATAAAATGGACCAAAATGCAACTCCGGATGTCATTTTTCAAAACTTCTAAAAAAGAGTGACTTTGATCATGTATTAAAGATACAAATTAGCACCTTCAGATTTATAAAAATGATTATATTGGGATAATTAGGCATAATATGTACTTATGGTGGACATTTGGTTGGCTACCAGTGCAAAGCAAATGGAGTTGAATTCATTTAAAGTTTTACGTCAAAGTGTTTACACCAGAGGACTTGATTTCAAAAGTTCTCTCAACAAGAAGGGAGAATTCAGTATATTTTTTGACTGATGTATTTTAAAGCACCTAAGAAATAACTTTTAAAAAATATAAGCCATGGGAAAAAAAGAGCGAAAAAATTGACAGAAAATGATGAGAAAAGTTTGGCTCTCTTCATTCTCTTACCATTTATAATCACCCTCTCTATACCAACATATTTTCCAGGTCTTATATCTTTCGACCACCAAAAATTATCTTTAAGTTTGGCTGCCTGAAAAATTTATAATGAGTACAATATGTTCGTTGCGAACGTCATATTTGACAGAATTTTGATGACGTTCAAGAATTTTGACAGAAACTGCATGACGTTCGAGAATGCCGAAAATGCTGTCACATGTAGTGCACGAAAATTCCATTTGTGATTTTCCTTTTGCAGGTAATTTGGAAGATAGCTCCGCTGAAAATAAATTTAAATTAACAACTCTAAGCATTAGATTTTCATCATGAATCGTATTTTATGTCATTTTTTTGCCTACGTCATTCAGAATGATGGATTTTCTTTTGAGAAAAATTGTTCCAAAGAGAAAAATCGCAGAGCGTTGCCATTCCGTGGAAGGGCTCATGAATATCAAATAAAAAAGAGGGCGCACTATTTAGGTTGATGTCAAAGGTGAAACAGGCCACGATGCAGCGAAATGTTTCTGTAACATCAGTGCGAGAGGTTGATAGAAGCCGCAAAGTCGCCATGATCAGTATTTTGGACTGCAGTTTTCGGGAACATACTTGAAGAAAATGTGATCGGTCCAGTCGTAAGAGGATGATGGTTTGGCGGTGCTTTTTTGCACTTTTTTAAAAGCTTGTGTTGTACATCGATATATGGATTTTACTCGCTTTTTTTGCAGTCGATTGTTTTTTACACTAATGACAGAATCGAATGACATTTGCGACTGCCGACCTCGAGACCCGATTAATTGTAAGAGGTACTTTTTAATTCTGAGATTATGGTTTTAATATGTGTAAATATTATCACCTTTCACCACATTTAAATCTGTGTAAAATAACCTCTGGGATTATCACTCCTCAGTAAATTCTATTGGCATAGATTTTAACAAGGGAATTCATGTCTGTCAAAAATGCTGACGTTGAAGACTTTAATTAACTCCAATTAAGTTGAAAGGTTGACACGGTCATCATTGTTCCAGATATCAGCTATGACTTCCCTCATTTAATACATCAAATATTAGAAATTAATTCACTGCTGTTCACTTCAGGAAAAATTGAATTCCCAAAGTTGAACATTATCTAATGGTCCATATTTTGAGGAATCTGCCATAATCAAATCTTTCAGCGAATTGTAATAGGCACATGGGAAATTTGCATATGTAGGGTGGGCAGGGGTAAGTATCACTAGGAGACCCGACCCACTTAATACAGTTTTTCGGTACTCGTCTCCGAAGAACATAATTTGGGTCCGGGGGGAGTGAGAACGGGCATTCTAAGTTTGGTCCATGCCAATCTGGATCAGCTGGTATGCGGATCAGACCAATAACAGGCTGGGCTTCCTCGCGTGCTTTCCCAGTTTACGCGGGAAGGCCGTCACTTTCTTGGTTTTCCCCACCATACATGTTTGCATCAAAATTTCATCTTGGTTCACATCGTAATTTTGTCAAAAATCCTGCCTATCAACCTAACTTCTCAAATCCTCGATGGCAAAGAACGGACGAGGTCGGAAGAGACAGGCTCCCGAGAGCGCCGAAGCAGCAGCAAAGAAGGGAAATTCAGCCAACGCTTCACGCCCTCCAAGTCAGACTCGGTCACAGGCCAGAGCTATGCAGGCATTGCTCGCCCCGCCATCATTGGCTGCACGCCCGCCAGACGTACATGTTCACAGCGGCCCCGATGACCCCGTGGTGACAAGTCAGCTGAACCAGATGATCGTAACAGCGCCCTTTCGTGGCCAGGGTTCGCAGAGTGCGAGCACTGCAACATGTACACCATGCCGTCCTCAGCCGATCTCGTCACCCTTTCCGGCCCCGAGTGTAGCGTCTTCGTCGGCCCCTCTGAGCTCCGTTCAGCCTATTCCAGTGCTGGTATCTCAGGGGCCCCTTCCTCAACATTTACTTGGCGCTCCGCTGCCAGAATTAAGCCAACTTGGTCCCTCAGGAACTTGCCAGTCTTGCCAATGCCAGTCGCAAACGAGCGGTCTAGAGTGCCAGCCAGCCGTTCCAGCATCGTGAGCACCAATCGTTCGGTCGATTAGTCATCCATCAACTCATCCCAGCGGGCGCAGTCTTGATGCTCTTCCCCTTCAGCAGGTCATTTCTGGAGCCCCAGCTACGGTGACATCCCAACCCACAGGTGTACCATCTCTTCTACCATGACCAGGTGGAGCATGTGGGGCTGGATCCCCTCCAAGTTCAGTGGTGCCTGGCTCGAGTCACCGCCCTCTTGGTGAGTATGGCATTCCTATTCAGGGGCCTCCTTTTGCGTGGCACAACACCTCTACACAAGGGGTGGACGACGGTCCCTTAGTTTCAGTTTGTGATCCCTTGGGGGCTACAATTCTAGGTAGTACTAGAGAGAGGATCATAAAAAGTGAATTCATTGAATTAGATCTGCTTCTGGAGTGCCACTTTCACAGCTCCCCCAATTCAAACCTCACACTTAGTTTTGACAACTCTGGGCAGTTACTATTGAAAGACACCAAGAAAAAGCCCCGAATTACATCTATTTTGGGCTGTATGGATGCTTTTCTTGTCTTTTCCTTGATGTTTATCGGTACGTACCCCAAGCGGGCCCAAGAACTCCAAAGGACGTGCATGTGATTAGGATGGCCGGTTTTCGGGTAAGGGCTGGTTAGAATACGATAGCTATTGCAGGTTGCGCCAACAATTCCACCCTAATACATGTAGATCCTGGGCTATTATTGACGGCGAACTGTGGGCCCTGTTTGTGACCGCCCCCGCTGGCCCCAGCTTCAGCCTTGGGACCCAAAAAGGGGTCAATTCTAACTTTCCCAAGCAGCGCCCTTTCAACTCCTTTCGTGGCAGGGCTTCATCCCGTGGATCCGGGTTTTGTTTCGCATTAAACCGCACAGGTTGTACCAATTCCCAATGCAAGTACGCCCACATGTGTTCCTCCTGCCAATCCCTCAAACAGGGGGGCCCTCATGCACAGCACAAAACAGCAAATCTAGCGTCTCCCGCCGCTAAGGCGCTACTTCCCACTCCTAGTCCTTGTTACCCAAACATTTCAACAACTTGCATTAATAAAACCCACTGTTTATGCTGCCTAGCATATACTCCAGTACAGTTATCTGCTTTATTACCATTTCTTGACCTGTACCCCAATAAAGAGGCTGCGACGTGCCTACGTAATGGGTTTTCCGCTGGGTTCAAACTGGGGTTCCAAGGAGCAAGGACTAGTTTTGATTCTCCCAATGCTCAATCTGTCAACAAAAACACTTCTGCTGCCCTAGATAAATTATCCGATGAGATTGCTCATGGTCGCATGGCAGGTCCCTTCACAGATAGGTCATTGCCAAATCTCAGAATTTCCCGAATAGGGCTTGTCCCGAAACCGGAACCAGGACACTATCGTCTTATACGTAATTTGTCTTATCCAGAATCTGGGTCATTAATGAAGGGATCGACACACAGCTTTGCATGGTGCATTACACAAGTTTTGATCATGCGGTCGACTTGGTAGTTGGGGCAGGAAAAGGTGCATTTTTGGCTAAAGCAGATGTAAAATCAGCATTCCGTCTGCTCCCCGTTCACCCTGACGATTTTTGTCTCTCGGGCATCAAATTGCTCGATCATTTTTACGTTGACAAAGCTCTACCAATGGGGCCTTCCTGTGCCCCTGCCTTGTTTGAAACATTTTCTACCTTTCTTGAATGGGTGGTTAGGAAAGAGTCAGGTACAGATCGCATCTGTCATTATGTGGATGATTTCTTGTTCATATGGAGTTCAAACTCATGAGGGGGTATCTCCTGCCTGGAAATCTTAAACTGTTTCAGGAAAGTTTGCAAGGAGTTTGGAATTCCGTTGGCAGAAGACAAAACAATCGGCCCGTCCACTACACTGACGTTCTTTGGACTTGAGATAAATTCAGTAACCCAAATGGTTTCGGTTCCAGAAGCAAAACTCCAAAACAGAGGTTCAGTCTATAGCTCAGTCAAAGAAAGTTACCTTCAGTCCCTCATTGGTTCCTTGTTATTTCTGAGCCGTGCTGTTCCCCCTGGGCGGGCATTCCTCAGACGCCTCATTGACCTACTCTCAGGTGTTAAGAAGCCCTGGCACTTCATTCAATTGTCACGTGGTGCCAAAGCCGACCTGAATATGTGGCTGGTATTTCTGCGTAGATTCAATGGAAGGGCCATCATTCCAGATCGGTTTTGGTTGGAAGACACCGACCTGCAGCTATTCACGGATGCAAGCGATGGCATCGGCTCAATGGAAATTGGTTCTGTGACACTTGGCCCCAGTCGGTTTTGGCTGATTCTCGGTCAATTAGATGGCTGGAATTTTTTCCAGTAGTTGTTGCACTACCTCTGTGGGGCAGGCGTCTGACAGGTAAGCGGATTATCATTCGCTCTGACAACAAGGCTGTAGTTGCTATTGTTAATAAACAGTCTTCCAAGTGCCCCAAGATTATGCATTTGGTCAGATTCTTTGTCCTGCGGTGCCTCTCGGATGTCTCTTTCAAGGCCACTCACATTCCAGGTGTTAAAAACCAAATTGCTGACGCCTTGTCACGTTCCCAGATGACCCGGTTTCGGGAGCTGGCTCCATATGCGGCCATTCAGGGTACGGAAATCCCAGCCTTCCTTTGTAAAATTTAATGGCCGAGGCAGAGCGACTCCTCGGAGCTTCCATGGCCAGCAGCACGTGGGTGAGCTACAATAGAGGGGTTTCACTGTTTCAAGAATCTCGCCTTCAAACTGGCTTACAGACTTGCTGGCCGGCTCCATATGGCCAGGTTGTGGCATTCATAGCTCATTTGTCCCTGCAGGGCCTGGCCTCCTCCACAATTAGCTCCTGCACCTCTGCTATTTTGTTTGTTCACAAAATACACAACTGGCCCGATCCAACTAATAACTTCTTGGTTCTAAAAATTCGGGAGGGTTGCCGACGGCAGCCTCATCAGTCAGACAGCCGTCGTCCCATCACAGCTGGCCTCTTGCAGAAGATCTGCACCATATTAGGCCACATCACTTCATCGGATTTCGAATGTTCCTTGTTTTGTTCTGCTTTCCTCCTAGCGTTCTATGGGTTTTTACGGGTAGGTGAGTTTACTGTAGGCAGTAAACATGCCGACAGCTCTCGCACTCTGGGGCTCAATGATGTCTGGTTTGAGGACTCCGATCCATTAGTCATGACTGTAAGACTCCGTTTTTCTAAAACTGATCAGCGGGGAGAGACTGCAACTCTCCGTTTTCATTAGCAGGCTATTTGCACAAGCGGCCCACTTTAGGGGGCCCTCTATTCATCCACTTCGATGGATCCCCCGTAACTGCCTTTCAGTTCCGTCACAAGCTCAAAAAGTCATTGGAAGCAGCAGGAGTTCCCTCAGCAGGCTTCAGCGGTCACAGCTTCCGCATAGGAGCCGCCAAATCCGTGGCCCTTAATGGTATTTCAGTCTCAGAGATTCAGACTCTGGGTCGTTGGAAGTCCTCAGCGGTAAATCTCTACACCCATCCCCATAGGGTCTAGCTAGGAAAATATTTCATTCCTGTATTGCTAAGTGCAATTCATCGGGTAATTGACTTTAACACTGGGTTTTGGAAAGGCCTTTGCTCTCGTTCCCTTATTTTATTCATCCACAGGCACTACACGCACATGGGTAATTTGAGACAGCATTGTCTTCAGAGCCAGTCGGTCCGACCTTCGATGTTCAGCTACACAGTGCCTCCAGTGGTTTGGCATGAGGGGAGCAAAACTGATAGAGCTAGTTCCCATGCTCAACCGTCTTTTGAAATCAAGGCCAGCGCCTAAAACCCTTGTCATTCATTTGGGTACGAACGACTTGTTCTCAACCCCGGTCAGGGAGCTACGTCGTAAGATTAAAATGTACCTCTGTACTGTTCGGGAAACATTCCCGACCACTCGTATTGTTTGGTCAGATATCTTATATCGATTGTTTTATCATGGGGAGGCAAAACATGGGGTTGGCAAGACCAATGTTCGTGCTTTAAACAAGTTTGCTCACATGGTTTGCCACCAAAGCTGCTATGCCAGTACAATCATTCATGTACACAACATACATTTAAATGCATCAGATCCATCCCTATTCTGGCGCGATGGCCTACACCTCTCCAATGTTGGCAATATAAAGTTTTGCGAGAATTTGCACAACGCGCTGGCCTTCTTTTCACTCTATCCAGATGCACCTTGTTACCCACCTTAATGTTTAGAGGTTTCACACACCCCTGGGAGTCGGTGCCGATTTGGCTATTTAGTCTGGTTAATTTTGTTTTGTTTTTTGGGGGGGTTGGCAAGTTTTCTTAATGTCAACTTGTTTGGTGGTATGTCTATTCAATTTGAGTAGGAAATGCTCCTTGTCCAGCCTGGGGTCATCTTCCCGGGGCTAGCCTCCCTGTACCTTGGGGAGGTGGTTGTGGGAAGGGACCCTCCCGTTGGGAGGTGGATTCTGCCAGATTGCTACAGGTTAGCAATTTTTCCAAATGGGGCCTCTTGTTTAGTTTTCGTTGAAGCACAGGGCTGTTCCAGGCGACAGAGCATTCTTTATTTTGACCAAAGTGTTGCTTTCTTGTTTCAAGTACAACCAGAAAACCGGTAAATCTGATCATCAATTAAAGCCCAGCTGGCAGTTTACTTGTCGTTCGAACTTCATCTGATCTCTTACAGATTTTAATACTTTAAATCATGTACTTGTTCAGTGTTCTTGCTTGTTGAAAAAGTTTGGGAAAAAAGTCAAGAAAATAAATTCGGTGGTGGACAACCAAAGAAACGGCAGAAAATTGTCTCTGTATTCTCATTTCCTCTGGAGCCAATGTGGGGGAAGATTTTCAAAGAGCTGGTATGAGTTTAGCTAAGACTGGAGAGCTAAGTTTATCATGAACAAAATACGCTTTTTCATCACTAGGAGTCATCATGAGATCTCAGCAAATAGTTTGTATAAAAAGTGTCTGTTAAAAAGTGGATCAAGGTACTTTATAACCAAGCCTCCTCTTCAGTTCTGGTTAATGGATTCCTTTCTCAGTCGTTTCAGATTGGGAGAGGTTGTAGGCAGGGGGACGGCTTAAGCCCTTATCTGTTCCTTTTGTGTGCAGAAATTTTTTCAATGATGGTATGCATTGATAAAGATCTTCAAGGCATTGCGGTTGAGGGAATGGAATTTCGATTATCCCAGTATGCTGACGACACAGTTTTGTCTTGAATGGCTCAGCGAAGTCAATGCAGGCTGCTTTCAGAATTCATGACCAATATGTCTGGTTTAAAGGTTAACGTTGAGAAGACTAATGCCATTTGGATTGGTTCATCAAAAGATAGTGGGGAGAAGCTTTGTGAAGAGATCAATGTGAACTGGGTCACAGCTAAGCAACCTTTAAGAATTCTTGGTGTTGACTTCTCCACTGATCTTAACTCTATGATTTCGCTGTATTACAATAGGATTATCCCGACCTTATATGGCCAAATTTTTAATTGGTCAAAGAGACATTTAACAGTGTTGGGCAGAATTGTTTTAGTTAAATCATTACTTATGTCAAAACTTATCTACCCAGTGTTAATCCTTCATGATCCTCCCTGTGATATGATTGAGGAGTTAAATGGTCTGGTTTTTAATTTTATTTATGCATATTTTATTTAAAGTGAGTGTAGCTACTGGTACATGTCAACTTACATGTACTTACAAAACTTGCCCCATCCATGGATTTCCACAGTTTTTCTTTTTTAAGGCATCTCTGCTAACAGTTGTTATTTAAATGAGATAGAAACACCTGCTTGTTTTTTATAGTGAGAGTTTCAGTATTGTTTTTCAGATTGGTTAAATTTGAAAATTTACATTACAAAATGTCAAAATGATTGCTGATTAAACTTGGCCCAAGGCTGCTGAATGATCCAATTGTAAACAGTGGTACAAGCAGTCCTACCCCTGTCTTATTCATCATATTTAACTTGTTTGACACCATTGCCATATGTGCAACAGGTTGGAGAAAAACTCTTTTAAAATCTGAACTGATACCAGGAAGTTGGTGTGTTAGACCTCACTTTTTTCATTGATATGTTTGGGAATTTCATCAAAAATAAATAAAGCTGAACCGACTTTGGTACACAATAAAATGCAGGTACAGTACCAGAATCACAAATACTGCTCAGTATCTTAGAAAGTGAAATCAGGTCAAACTCATGTAATAGATTTGGTGTAAATTATGTCCTTCAAATGATTTGGTGTGAATCATGTTCTACACACGTGATACTCACAAATGCATTTTCACCGAATAATCATGTGATTCAGTCACATAAAAATGAAGGTAATTTAATCATTATAATCATTTGTTTGGAGCAATAACAGGCATGCACTTTATTGGCCTATTCTTTTATCACGTTTTGCATGCGTCAAAAATGTGATTGACTAGTTTTTTTACCATGTTTTCAAAGATCCAACAGGCACATTATTGGCCTGTTCTTTTGCACTCCTCATTTACTTTTTCACTGTTTAGCATTGTAAATGGTGAAAATGGTGTTCTTTTGCATGAGGTGGGAGCCAGTGCAGTATAGCTGTAGCTGTAATTCATTGAGCTTTGTGCACGTTTCACCATTGCAACAGCGAAATGCGCAACAAGCAACAAATTGAAAGGCAGCCATCTTTGGAACCCTCTTAATCAATAGACTTAATTTTAGATCGACACAGATAGAGCCATCACTTTATCCAGCCCAATTATTCAAAATGTCCACCAATTTGTTACTTCAATTAATTCAAACTCCTGATTCGATTCTTATTCCTGGTGCACCTCACAATAATAAATCTGGTAGGGAAAGCTGCAGTATTTCTGTCATTCAATAGAAAATATTAAACTTCCTTAACTTACGGTTGCTGGTCGATGTTGTTGACTTGTCTCCCTCCAGCGTGCGAAATAAAGATACAAAAATAAAGTCACAATCTGCTCCAAACACAATCTTATAAAATAGCTGTAATTCTTCCAAGCCAGATGGACTCAGAAGATCACTCTTTGGGCCTATAGCTTGCCCACAGATCAAACAAAATCGCTGCAGCAGAGCAGGTTAACGGCACAACCACTCACTCAGATATATGGGAGACGACTGCCCTGACTCTATGTTCAAACCGAACAACCTTCCACTAATTTACACCTCATTGGCTCATGCTCTTCAAACTTCACTGTACCACCATTCTCATTCAAACCAAAACTCATGCATATACAATCATGTTCCTCAACAGAGTAGGGGTTACAGAGACTATCCATTGTAAGTGTGTGTGAATGTGGGTATTGGGAAGATGCTCCCAAAAGTATGCATGTACAAGGTGTCTTTATTGTTTTACCTGTTCACTACGGCTCTGGCCCAAAAGACGGAACTAAACAGAATTATTCACAGATACTCAGGGTGGTTTATTGTAACACTACTCATGGTCTTCTGTTTGTGTGAGACATCAGCATTAGTCAGTCGTAACGGATCTATCACCGGGTAAGAGCTACCCACGAATTAGTCTGGTTCCTTGAACAAGTTGCCCTTCCGACTTATGGACTTGTGGCCAGGAATCAGTCTACGACTGTGAACAGTCAGGCGGTGCGGAAATAGAGGGGTCCTGTTCGGAAAATGTTGAGAAAAAAAAAGGGCAAAAAAATTGAAGCCCATCTTCAAACTCGACACGCGCACTGACCAGAGACTGACCATTTTTGGGGGGGGGGGCTTATGGAGTGAAATTAAGGCTTTATGTCATGCTGAGTGTGGATTAAGTTTTAAGGTACATGTACCTGTAGGGGTACAAAGGTTTTTGGTCATTTCAGACCAAGGAAACCAGAGATATATGTACATGTACATCAGCCTGATGATGAGTCAAATGGCTTGGAACAGATTTTCATTTTAGTACAAATTGACTCTTACAGGCCAAAGAAGAGAGGAACTCTTTAATAATGGAATGAAATTTGTTTTCCTAAAAAAAACTAAGATGGTAGGGTCTTGAACAGTTTTTTCTTTTTTGTTATAGCACAGAAAATGGATGCTACCATTCCCAATGGGAGAATATCTCCAGTACCGATACCTGGCCACAATCCTGTAACCTTAATGATGTCTCATGAACAAGAAATGAAAAACAAGGTTTGTATTTTTATACATTACATGTAGCTATGTTTGCATCCAAGTTTAGAACCAAAAAAGTTGTTTTCAAAGAGTGATCTAGATACATGGATAATGGTTGTTCAACCTTTTTCCAAGTTTATGAATTGAAAGTCCACAGGATGTAGACCTGTCCCATCCTGTTGTAGTGTACATTTTGTATGCTCCCGAAAAGGATGGGGAAAAACGGATAGCCCTAAATAAAAACTGTGGACAATACAATCTTCAAACACTGTGCTTTTTGTTGATCATCAGCTGGCTAATCTCAAGCCACACTATTCAGGGCTAATTTGGTACCTGTACGTATATGTATGTGCAGAGATACAGCAAATCAATGTAAATTTACAAGCACATCTACAAGTACTAGTACATGTATGTATTTGCATTTGTTCAGCTACTTTGAAACTGAGCTGTATAGAATAGATTATTAGATGAGATGTCAACACTGCGGTGGTACAACACGCGTGCAAATGTTAATGTGGAGTTGTGTTTGCGCTGGACTATTTTTTCCAACAGTTTCACCAAGCCATTGGTAAAATGAAGAAACCCACTGTCTGCACTGGACTTTTGACGCAGGAAAACTTTACAAGACCATAGGAGAAGTTGTCAGTGTAATGAGTTATGAGGGCACTTTGTGTGACTCCTTTCTGCATAACATTTCTGTCCTCGTTATCATCTGGCAATGGCGCACTCTCAACACCAGTTAATCTTCGAACTGTATCAGTAACAATTTCTGCTATGATTAGGATCAACAGAGGAACAGATGCACTGGAAATATTCACCTCATGCCACACTGCAACGAAATGTGCAACATGCATGCTGTTGTGCTTGGGCCAGATTGCCCATGCTTTTACCACCTCATGCTGTATATACTGGACTTACATGTACATGTACAGTGTACATTTAGCTTGCGAATTTGTGATAGTTGTTACTACTCTAAGGGGCATATCCAATGTTGGGGGCGGGGGAGGGGTACAAGAGGGACAACATCTATTGAGTGGGGGCCACAAAATTGGAGTTTCTTTGTGTAAGGGTTTATGGCATTTTTCAGGGGCTGGTGGCTATGGGCAAGGCTGAATTTTGGGGCATTTTTCAATTTTCATGCTCTTGAAAGGAAAGGAGTTGAAATAGTCCACCCGCCCCCCAAAAAATCACCTTGCTCTCATTATTTATCAAAAACTAAAATGACTTTGCCCCTGGGGGGGAGGGGTATGGCCTTTGTTGGCTCCCGCCCGTGACTAACAGAAAGTTCTGGGAGTTGAGCATTTTGTTGTTTTGGATTTGCCACCTGTCAAGTTAATGATGCATATTACTAGTTCATTTAGCTGTACTGGTAAAAAAAAAAAACTAGAAGCAGTAGTTGTTACAGCAACAACCACAGAGCTTTTTCGGATTTCGAGTTGTTGAACAGATAATTGTGTCAGTGATGATCTGTGACAATTTTGTTCTTGGACCCTCTGCAGCAGCTGGAGTAAGAGTTTACACCTAAATATACAGTCGGTCACATCGACAAAAGTGCCAAAGACCGGCCGTTGAAAAACAAGTACAAAACCTGTGGGGAAAGTAAAATATTACAAAATGAATTTTGAAAATCACAAGGTGATGTCATCGTGACATTTTCATTTGGAATAATTCTTTTTATCAGGGTCTTTGTTGGGTGCAACTTTGATGACGATCAAACGTCGCAAAGTTATACCAACATGGTGGCTTGAAAACATGTGCAGTGTCAATAGATGATTAACACACATGTATGCTCCTTTAAGTTTATGTCACATGATTTGCGTCTAAACCGAAAAGGTTTCATGAAATATTACTTGATATTTTGACTCTTGAGTATGTTCCAAATCGAAAAGCACTGCGTAAAACATACAATTTCCCTTTCATTCTTGAGCGGAGGTTGAGGATTACTCGCTCATCACGATTGGTAATAGTGTGTTGTAGAAAAACGTGTGAAAAACCTACGGGAAAGGACTGCAACTTTATTCTCGGGTCACGTAACCCCAAATATTGATAGGCAGCCCCTCGGGTTGATGAACTACATACGCTTTCAATACAAAGTCGCTCAGATGAATGAGTGCGACAGTCTTTGACTTCAGAAAACTTGCACAAAACCTATGGAGACAAACTGCACCTTTAAAGTCATGTCATGTGATTTGCCCTTATATCAAGAAAAAATTATGAAAAATTATTTGATATTTGGACTCTTTGGTATATTTTTAATTAAAAGAAAGGGAAAATTTAGTTTAATTTTTCGTTTGTTCTGGTAGTAATTTTCAGTCGAAGTTGAGGACTACTCACTCATTAGGCTCGATAATAGTGTGCAGTAGAAAACATGTACAAAGTCTATGGGGAAAATTAAACATTCAAAAATCAATAAAAAATAGTTGATGACGTCATCACAACTTCATAATCTTGGTATCATTATTGTACAGGTATAACATTTTTTGTTTGCTGTAATTTGATGACTATTAAAGATCACTAAGTTACGAAAACGGTGGCTTGAAAACGTGTATAAAGTCAAAGGGCTGTAAACGTGTGCAGAAAAGCTGCTCCTTTAAGATTTGCATCTAAACTGAAGAAAAATTATGAAATATTATTTGATATTCTAAATCTTGGGTATATTTGGAATCAAATGAAAGGGAAAATTTAGCCGGACTTCTCTTTCGTTCTGGTAGCAATTTTCAGTCGAAGATGAAGACTACTCACTCATTAAGCTCGATAATAGTGTGTAGTGCAAAAACGTGTACAATCCCTATGGAGAAAAACTGCACCTTTAATCTCATGTCACATGACCACTCATGATGTCGTGATGATGCAGGTGTTCTGGGACCCTCTTTACGTAGTGGAGTAGGAGTGTGCACTAACATGAAATCAGTTAGATTGACCAGCGTCCCGAAGTGTGGCTGCTGAAAAACGTATACCAAAACTATGGGGAAAAATAAAATATTCAAAAATCGATACGAAATAATGTGATAATGTCATCATGACGTCATCCATTTGATATAAATCTTGCATAAGGGTCTTTGTTGGCAATCACTTTGTCAACGATCAAACATCGCGAAGTTACCAAAACTGTGGCTCAACTACGTGTTCAAAGTCAATGGGCTATAAACTCATGTGCAGAAACACTGCTCCTTTCATTTCATGTTACGTGATTTGGGCTTGAACTGAACAATTTTTATGAAATATTATTTCATATTTGGACCCTTAGACATATTTCAAATTAAATATCGGAGCGTAAAGTACCAGATTTCCTTTTCTTCTTATAGCAATCTTGAGCCAAAGTAAAGACTACTCGTTCACTAGTGTCAAGTAGAAAAATGTGTACAAAACCTATGGAGAAAAGTAAAATATTCAAAAATTAATATAAAATAAGGTGATGACGCCATCATGACGTCATTCGTTTTCAATAAATCTTGCCTCAGGGTTTTTGTTGCCTGTAACTTTGATGATGATAAAACCTCTGAAAATTACACAAATGGTAGCTTGAAAATGTGTACAAAGTCACTGTGCTGAAATAAATATTGAAAAATCAATACTAAATCACATGACGACATTATCATGATGTCATTTCTTCAGAATAATCCTTGTATAAGGGTCTTTGTTGACTTTCACTTTGATGGCGATGAAATGTCGCACAGGTTTCAAAATAGTGGCTTGAATATGTGTACAAAGTCATTGGGAAAAATTAAATACTCAAAATTCAATAATACATGTAAATCAAAGGACGATGTCGTCACGACTTCATCAGTTTGGTATCATGTTGCTATCACAGTTACTCCTTGGTGTAACTTTAATGATGATTGACTATTGCTTAGTGACCCTAATAGTGCCTTGAAAACTGTATACATAGTGCTTGGGAAAAATATTAAATATTCAAAAATGAATAAGAAATCGGTTGATGCCTTCATTGTGACGTCAACATTTTGTTTTCAAGTTGGCATTGGTGTCAATCCTTGATGTAACTTTCATGACCTTTGAACTACATTAAATGACCAAAAATGGTGATTGTTGGAAAACCGTGTGCAAAGTCTATGGGAAAAAAATTAATTATTCAAAAATCAATAATAAGTAATTGATGATGTCATCATTCTGAATTTCTTCTAGGACCATCCTTGGACGATCATCCAACTATCCTCCAAGTTTGAAATCATTCTGATTTTTCTAACTGCCAAAGTGTACTAGTGGAAGAAGTTGTCTGAAAAAGGAGGAAAAAGAAACTAGGCACATCTTTGAACTAAGGTCCTTCAATGATGTAAGTTTCGATGAAGTTCCAAAGGTGCAAAAGGACCAAAGTCGATGGTGGAAGAAACATGCACAAAACAAATGGGCTTTTGGTCAGAAGAGGAAGAAGAAGGAAGAAAATAAAAAACAGAACAAAAATTGGGATAAGCCAACCCCCCCAAAAAACACAACGATTACAATAGCTGTTTTGGCAACTTGCCGAAACAGCTTTAAAAAAAATGATAGGGAAAACAATACCAGTTTCGGCAAACTAGAGCTTTGACTGTTGTTAAAATAACGGCAGGCTCTCAATTTTGAAAAAAGAAATTCAAGAAATTAAACTATGAAAGTATCAGAAACAAATACCGTAAGTAATGATGTTTTATTCAATACGATGCGATATGTATTGAAATAAGGCTTTGAATAAATGTGATTTTTAATGTGATGAGAGCTGTTTACTGATAATGTTTGAAAGAAATCATCACATGTACTGGTATTTCAAAGGATATTGAGCTTGAAGAAGTGCACTTTAAATGTCACTTAACTTGTCACCTAATACTTCCCTTTGTAGTCAACAATCTGCAAAATTTCAACCCAACGGGACGTGTATTTAGGAGATATCAGGCCTTAAAGGATGCGTATGGATTGTAGAGGAAATATCCTGTTTGAATCTGCAATATTGGTCCTTCTGTTGCAAGGCCGGTGGACATATCGAGCTATAAAATTAGTCATTTCGGCGTTTCTGTAGACCTCAGCAC